AAAAAAAAAAAAAAAAAAAAATCAAGGATAATTGGGAATGAAGAAAAAAAGAGGGGCAAACCCTTTGTGCAGCTGGGGCTTATCAAAACTCAGGAACAGGTAAACTGAAAGTAAAACTGTTATTTTCCAGGTCAACTGAAGTCAGAATTGCCTTCTGGTCTTGGAATAATCTCCCAAACGGCCCCAGAAAGTGTGTGAAAGGTGAGACAGGAATGACCTGCTGTTCCCAGTGGCTGCTGCAGGTGCTTGTTCCGGTGTTCCGTGCTGTGATTCCAAAATTCCTCTGTGCATTTCCCTCCCAAGCAGCATTCTTTCCATTCACACAGGGCACTATCAATTCAACGCTCCTGAACTCCCTTCCTGGGGCCACTGCCCAAAAGCTTGAGTTTCATTACATTTCTGCGAGTTCCTCATGTAAAAATATTAATCAAGATTCCACTCTTCTCAATGACATGAACATCTTTTTTTTTATTATTAATTACTGGACACCTGACTTTAAGTATCTAAGGCTGTATTTTGCAAACATTTTCACCTTGCCAGAAACCACAAGTTGTAACATTTTCATCACACCAGTGAGAGTCCTGTGATCACAACTCCAAACATCTGCTGTGGGTGCCTTTATTGTAATTTTATTCCATGGTGGGGCTGTAAAACCTCTTTCCACACAGAAAACCAAAGCAACCTTTGTCAGGAGAATAATTCCAGYTGCTTCAGCCTGACACCAGTTTGGAATCCCACTGGACAGGGCTGCTCCCATTTTCCTGTTCTTCTCAAGACCCAACTCTTGGAATTGGCACAGCTGCTAAATTGATAAGAAAATGGATGGGGAAAAAATAAAGGAATTGGCACAGCTCCCAAATTGATAAGAAAACTGATGGRGGAAAAAAAGGAATTGGTACAGCTGCCAAATTGATCAGAAAATTGATGGGGGAAAAAAAAAGGAATTGGCACAGCTGCCAAATTGATGAGAAAATTGATGGGGAAAAGAAAAAATAAAAGGATTTGCAGCTGAAAGCTGGTTCTTGAGGGGAATGATGGAGAGATAAACGGGTTTTCTGCTCAACTGGATGCATGTTTGTATAAAGGAAGCCGCAGGAATTTAAACCGGTGAGAAATAGTTCCACTGTGTTTTTGTTACTCTGAACAAATATAACAATAGCAAACTTTAGTTTTAAAAAATCTTACTGGCCCATTCTCGGTGGTTTTCCCCCTCCTTCCTCTTCYCCCTGTTACTAGCTCAAAAGATCTGCCAGATCAGCTGCTCTGGGAGCCACTCCCTAAATTGCTTTTTTGCCAGCAGCCTGGATTAGTTTTAAGGGTTTGGAGAGCCTTGGAGCGGGCAGATTTCRGGAGCAGGATGGCAACAACGAGTGGGGAGGAGGTTCCTCATCCTCCCATCAGCACTCGCAGATYTGGAAGACAAACTCTGCCCAGTAGCCTCAAGCATCAGCGTAAAAACCTGACTGTGCCTTCCCTGGTGCTCGTGCAGATTCTGCTGATTAAAAACCTTTGGGTGCTGACAGAATTCTGGGTTGTAAAAAAATGAGTGAGAAAGTGGGGGAAATGTGCAGGAATCTCTGCCAGCTCCATGGTGTTGAATACACACCATCCACACAACTGGCTCTGTACTCTTTGTACTTCCAGCTCCTAAAAAAACCCTCTGGAAGCATTCCCCCAACAGGGAGAGAATTACTGGGAAGCTTCCCAGAGGAAGGATGGTCTGGGGTTCCAGTTGGGGCTCTCCTCACGCWGGAACAGTTCAATCCAAAGCACTAGAGCCGAGCTTTTCCCTGAAGCAGGAAATCCTGGCATCCCTAAAGACGGGCAGAAAGGCAGGAAGAGCAGTGTTGATGCTGCACATTAAATAATCCGTGGTCAAGTAGCTTTATTAAAGTTATYCCAGCCATGGTATTAATACCACTGGAACAAAATGTTTCAAGTTATAATTATTCTAATTGGAGAAGCTGGTATCCACAATATCCTGAAGACCAGAGACAAAAACCACCAGAAGGAAAACTGTGGGAGAGACTTTGAAATCCTCCTGTCCACTATGGCACAGCCCTGCCTTTGTCTGTACATCCCACCCRAACCTCCCACATCTCCTTCTCTCATCCCTACATTCCACTGAACCTCCCATATCCCTTGTCCTTGTCCCTACAACCCCCCTGAACATCCCACATCCCTTTTCCTCATCCCTAAATCCCACTGGAAAGTCCCACATCCCACCTGAACCTCCCATATCACCTTTTCCTTGTCCCTGTACTTGCTGCTAAGTGTCCCAGAATCTGTGATTTCTTGTGAGCATTAATTGATAACAAGTTCTTGCTCTGCTTGAACAACTCCTCAAATCACGATTCGTTTTGATAAAATGCTCATAAACTTAATTTTTAGACATTTTTCCAAGCAGGCAGACACAGAAACAGTGGCTGTGCTGTGAGAATACAATGTAAATTAAGAAGGAAATGTGTGTTTTGTATAATTAGAATGACAGCTACCCCTTCAGTAGCTACAAACACTCTCAGGGGTGAGTGAATGACTTTAAAACAGTGAACAGAGCATTCTTTTCCAGGTTCTTTCTGCCGGGAACAACTCATATCTCTCCATTCAACCCACTTCTTACTTAAATAACCACACAAGTATATCATGCCTGGAGGAAAACTTAGTGCATGTTGGGATTTGCATGCATTTCATGGGAAAAAAAGCAGTGAAAACAGGAGAGGGAATGAGAAATAGGTGCATTTGCCTTCAGGACAAAGTTTCCAATTTTTCTCTTTGGTTATGCAACATAAGATCTTTTCTTCTTCTTTTTTTTTTTTTTTTTTTTTTTTTTTTTTTTTTTTTTTTTTTTTTTTTTTTTTTTTTTTTTTTTTTTTTTTTTTTTTTTTTTTTTTTAAAAATGGTGCTTTGTCACTGATTCCAGTCTCTTCAGCAAAAATCTTCAGTTTCTCTCGGCATGGACTTCACAGGAGGACAATAAAAAACTATTCCTTACTTTTAAAGATACACAGAGCTCCTCCTGACTACCCCCAACATATGTACCCACATTTGCAATTCAACAATCCTGAATTTCACCCCTTGTGCCATCTGTGTGCCAGTCAGACAAAGGTATCATTTATCATTTATTATTTCTTATGCATTATTTATTAATTATTATTTATTCCTTTGAAAGCTCAGATTGGAGTCTCARCACAAGCATTGGTGTGGAGAGAAGGGGAAGGAGTGTATGTATTTTATTTATTATTTTTTATATGCCAGCCGGTATAACAGACTGAGAGCCGTTCTTTTTTATCTCCCTTGGCAGATCTAGGGTTAGTACATCCCTGCTCTTTCCTGTAATGAGCTGATTTGATTTTTTAGGTTTTTTTTTTTTTTACTAAGCACCCTTTTCCTGCAGTATCACCCCCTTAACAACTCCCCCATGCCCRACCACGCAGGCACCACAGAGGTTTGTTCTGTGAGAAAGGACAATCACTCCTGAGGAAAGGCCGCTCACAACCTCACTTCCACGATCCCCAAAATCCACAAAAYGTGGCCCTTCCACATTCCCTTCTCATGGGGCACTTCCAGCCTGGTTTGTGTGTGAATCCAAAGCTGAGTTGAATTGATGGTGAACGGAGCACACACAGACACTTTCACCTGCTTGGGGARCAGAGCAGATTCTGTGCAATAATCCCTGATCAGTGAGCAGCCCTGCAGACACAGCCTGCCACCAGCTCAGCTCACTTTGTATTCTCTCTCACTTATTTTTCAGCTCCATTTCCAGTGTGCCTTGTTTCCCCCTCCGGTTTTGAATCCATTTCTTGATGCTGAGAATGTTGGGAGTGTTCAGCCTGGACAGGAGGTTGTGTGGAGACATCAAARYACCTTCCAGTTCCTGAAGGTGCTGCAGGGAAGCTGGAGAGGGACAATTCATCAGGAACTGGAGGGACAGGACACAGGGAATGAGTAGAGACTGAAAGAGAATATGGTTAGATGGGATACTGGGCAGGAATTGTTCCCTGGGAGGGTGGGCAGGCCCTGGCACAGGGTGCCCAGAGAAGCTGTGGCTGCCCCTGGATCCCTTTGAGTGCCCAAGGCCAGGCTGGATGGGGCTCTGAGCACCCTGAGGTGTCAGGTGGGAGGTGTCCCTGCCCATGGCAGGAGGTGGAACCAGA